TATATATATATATATATATATATATATATATATATATATAAAACAAGACTATTTACTTTTAATACAAGGTGGTCACAATTAATTTAGACTATTGGATGCGAAACTAAATGACTATATTTATACCATTGACCAAGCTTAAAGTTCAAATTTCACATCAAATGGTTATAAGTAATTGTGACATCTTTATACCAAAGGTAAATGGTCTCATTGTATACAATCCCATGTTTAAAACATAATTTATATGATAGTTTTTTCATAAGAAAAAAAATGTTTTTCCATATCTTAAAGTCCTCTTAATCATAACAAGTTACTTTTAATTTTTTTTGTCTTTTTTTTTTTTGAAGAGAAGGTTAACTAGGAAAAGGTCGTATACAATTTTTTACTCTTGAAAGTTATCTTTTTTACTTTGTCGCATGCGATCTGCTTTTTAATTTGAAAATATTGCTTTGAAAGTCGAATTCAAATATTACTATGAAAGTTGAATACGTCCAAGAACACATTTTAGCAACACTGAAAGAAAAAAAAACGAAAAAGAAAACACCGATAGCTTTAAATGCCAATATCGTCACCGGTTGACATAGGTTAGCTTTAAATGCCAATATCGTCACCGGTAGATATATATATAGCGGTGCGATTTGTATAGAGCTAGGCTCTAAACAATCAAATTAGAGCATATCTTCAAATAGTATCGAAAAATGTGGTTTCAATGCTGGAAATCTTTGTGAAAGTATATTTTTATTTTTATTTATAGTTTAAAGCTCCAAAAATAGTGTAGATCGAAACTTGAAACTCTTGAAAGCTGACAGTTTAAAAATGTGCTATAAAATACATTATTTTCATAACTTGCAATCCATTTTTTACTTATGTCCATATATCATGATATCGAGATGATCAATTTGAAGATATTTGTATATAAAAAATACCTCATCTAATAAAATTGATGAGGTAGGCTTTAATTAGATTGTTTCAAACCTCGACTCTATATAAACTTTTCCTATATATATATATATAGAGGGTACATACTGCAGTCCGGGATGAGTAATCTTGAAAAGTGCACGAGTATAAGGCCATTTCAGAAATGATTTATGAGAACGGTGGCAAGTTTGAGGAAAAAATTACATGATAAAACATTTAGGCAAAAAATTACATAAAAGGCTAATAAATATTCAAATAAAAAGTAAAGGCTGGGAACAGGTAGGGTTTGGTGGCCAAGAGCCCAATATAGAAAAACGTGAACCCCACCTCTTCAAATCTAGCTAGCTGTTCCCCAACCTTTCTCTCTCTCAATGAGTTTTTCTTTCAAATTTCAAAATCCCTATAAATCTGACCGTTCATCTTCCACCCGTTAGATCGCCACCCTCGCTCAACGGTCATCTTCCATTTCAAATTCCCTCAAACTCCCGCTCCAATGACCATTTCAAAAACCCCTTTCCATTAGCCGTTATGCTCCCTTATATAACCCCCCCCCTTTTACCCGACTTTCCTCTTCCATATCTCTATAAATCTCTCTCTCTCTCTCTCTCTGAATCAAGAGAGTCTTTTCTTGAGAACCCACAAATCATTTTCTCTTTCTTGAGAAAACCACCCTCTTTATAGAGGATTTTCACCTTGAAAATCAGTAAATCTCTCTCTCTCTATTTTTTCTATTATTTCTGATTCTCTTTCTAGGAGACCAGCAAAAATGCGTGAGATTTTGCACATTCAGGGAGGTCAATGTGGCAACCAGATTGGTGCCAAGTTTTGGGAGGTTGTTTGTGCAGAGCATGGTATTGATTCAACAGGGAGTTACCATGGAGACTCGGATCTGCAACTTGAGAGGGTCAATGTGTATTACAATGAAGCGAGCTGTGGCCGATTTGTTCCAAGAGCTGTTCTCATGGATCTTGAGCCAGGAACGATGGATAGTTTGAGATCCGGGCCTTATGGTCAGATCTTCAGGCCTGATAACTTTGTTTTTGGCCAATCAGGGGCCGGAAACAATTGGGCCAAGGGTCACTATACGGAGGGAGCAGAGCTCATCGATTTGGTTCTTGATGTTGTGAGAAAGGAGGCTGAGAACTGTGATTGTTTGCAAGGTGGGTTTTGTAAATCTCTCTCTCTCTCTCTCTCCCTCTCTCTCTCCCTCTCTCTCACCAAATAGATCTGATATTTTGTGGGACTTTCAGGGTTTCAGGTTTGCCATTCACTTGGAGGAGGAACTGGCTCTGGCATGGGTACACTTCTGATATCAAAGATCAGGGAGGAATACCCAGATAGGATGATGCTCACGTTCTCTGTCTTCCCATCGCCCAAGGTCTCAGACACAGTTGTCGAGCCCTACAACGCCACTCTCTCTGTTCATCAGCTGGTTGAGAATGCAGATGAGTGCATGGTCCTCGACAATGAAGCACTATATGACATCTGCTTCAGGACACTCAAGCTCACCACACCAAGCTGTAAGATTTCTTTTTCTGGAACCTACTTATTTCCTGCATCTCTATTTTGGGGTTTTCATTTTTCACAACTTGGGTTCTGAATCTTCTGATATTGAGTCTTGGGATTATAGTTCAAACTTCAAAGTACACAAACATATCAGGGAGAGAGTGAGTTTCCTTACTACGGCGGATTTCTTGGTCAATTTTGTTTCTCATTTTCTCTAATTTTCTCACTACTAATCTTGTATCTACTAACTGTGCAGTTGGAGATCTCAACCACTTGATATCTGCCACCATGTCTGGTGTGACGTGCTGCCTCCGCTTCCCTGGCCAACTGAACTCAGATCTCCGAAAGCTCGCAGTCAACCTAATTCCCTTCCCCCGCCTCCACTTCTTCATGGTGGGTTTCGCCCCTCTCACCTCTCGGGGCTCCCAACAATACAGAGCCCTAACTGTACCAGAACTAACCCAGCAAATGTGGGACGCCAAAAACATGATGTGTGCTGCAGATCCTCGCCATGGTCGCTATCTCACTGCCTCTGCTATGTTTAGGGGCAAAATGTCCACAAAAGAAGTTGACGAACAAATGATCAACGTTCAAAACAAAAATTCATCATACTTTGTCGAGTGGATACCCAACAATGTGAAATCAACAGTTTGTGATATTCCCCCAACTGGTTTGAAGATGGCTTCAACTTTTATTGGGAATTCAACATCGATTCAAGAGATGTTCAGGAGGGTTAGCGAGCAATTCACCGCTATGTTTAGGAGGAAGGCTTTCTTGCATTGGTACACAGGCGAGGGAATGGATGAGATGGAGTTTACAGAGGCCGAGAGTAATATGAACGATTTGGTCTCAGAGTATCAGCAATATCAAGATGCGACTGCTGATGAAGATGCTGAGTATGAGGATGAGGAAGAGGAGGTGCAGGAGATGTGAGACAAAGTTGGCTGGAATTTGGGTTGGAAATGTGCAACTTTCAGTTGCCATTCTTCCAGGAATTGGGGTTGGTTTTGCTTTTTGGTGCCGATATTTGTACTTTTGATGGCTGTGAAGGTTATTTTAGTTCCTTTAATAGGTACTCTAAGTGAAGGGATTAAATGTTGAATGGTATATTTTGAATACAACTAGAGAATATTTCCTCAAATTTGCAGTTGTGTTTTTGTGTATGTATGTATGAGAGAGAGAGAGAGAGAGAGGAGACCACAGCTCATATGATGAGTAACTCAATTCTGTCAAATTCCCAATTGCTGTTCTCTTGCTGATAATACCAGCAGGGATAAGAGTAGTAAATTCAACTCCTAAAATGGCGTACTGTATCATGAAAAATGATACTCCCTCAGAAAAGAAAAAATGATAAATATATCAAGATAGGATCAAATTAAATTCTATATAATGTTGTCGTGATACCTAATGATATATTAAATGAGTCTATTGACTCAGTTTTATCAAATTTGAATAGTTGTTTTTTCTCTCATGCTATTCAGTTTTATCAAATTGTGAATGGGGTGAGTGGCCCCAATTAAACTTCCAAAATGACAAGAACAAGTGAGTAAATGCTGTTGTGTGCATTGATGCTCTCAGTTTCATCAAATTGTGAATGGGGTGAGTGGCCCCAATTAAACTTCCAAAATGATAAGAACAAGTGACTAAATGCTGTTGTGTACATTGACTCAGTTTTACCAAATTCAAATGGCTGTTGTTTTTTTCATGCGCTCTCTCTATTCAGTACCATTTCAATGGGATTTTGCTTTTACTGCTATATTGGGAGTCAGTTACTATGTGTGTATTGCTTGATGTAAAATAGATAGTGGATTTGTTTGTCTTTTGTTGAATCTTTTGAGTGTTTCAGAATAGGGTTGACCAACAAATTTTGAATGGTGTGTAACGTGCAACTCCTCATGCCTGTTTGTGGCACCATTAAACTTCCAAAATGAGAAGGAATAAGTGAGTCAATGCTGTTGTGTACTACGTTGACTCAGTTTTACCAAATGGCCGTTGTTTTTCTCATGCGCTATCTCTGTTCACTACTAACCCACCTAAGAAGAACTAGACCATCAAAAGAAAGAAACAGGTAGAAGATGCCTATAAAGATGAGAAAATGTATACAATAAGATACAAAAATATATACAATAAGACTATTTGTCTTTTACACAAGGAAGTTACAATCATTGTTGACCATTAGATTTGAAATCAGGTAATTGAGAATGTGCCATTGTTGGGCACAAAATCAGAATTTTTCGAATGTTATGACACTTTCGATTTCACAAGTGTATAATACCATGAGACCATATATTATACTTGTCGTAGTGTCATACTCACTCACTCTCTCTCTCTCTCTCTCTCTCTTCTCTCTCAGGCTTTTCGGTTGTGCAGCAATTTGCAATATTTCTCACACAAACAGGGTTAAAAAATGGAAAGATCAACAAACATGTCGCAGAAGAGTTGAAGGAATTTGCAATATTTCACACAAACAGGGTTCAAAAATGGAAAGATCAACAAACATGTAGCAGAAGAGTTGAAGGAATTTGCAATATTTCACACAAACAGGGTTAAAAAATGGAAAGATCAACAAACATGTAGCAGAAGAGTTACTGCAACCATAAAAATGCATGGATGTGAAAAAGATTGGTGGTTTGAAAAGGTAAAATGATTTTTATTTTCTTCCAGGCTCAACATTGTTTTGTTTTGTTAACGATTAGAAAATAAGACTTGGTGCATTGAACATGGGCAATTTATTATCCTTACATATATTATCCTTATTACAAAAATCAGAAGGGGGTCAAAAGATCATGTGGTTGCTAAAGTGTTACTGCATGTTCAGGATTCCACACTGAACATGGGCAATTTAAGAATTTTTGAAGACCTCCTAATGTAATTGAGATGTTTTCACTCCCGCTTATGCAAGAGACTACGATCCCTCAAGTGATACGTTGCTTATTACAAATTGCTTAGCTCCACTGTAGTTGCATGAGAAACCTTCTTGTTGAAATTGGGGAAGTCAGGAAAATTAGCTATAATAACATTCACAAACTTCGTAGCTAAGTGCAGCAATGATAGAATTGAAAGAAACTGATAGATATATATGTAATCAAACTGAGACAAGTAAACAAAAAAATGCAAGGAGGAATTCACGTGCTAGCAGGGTTTTGCTGCAATTCACAAAAGCAGGGTTCAAATTGGGAAAAAAACAAATGTGTTGCAGAGAGTTCTTGTAGTAGCACATTAAAGAAAAAAAAGAACAGTATCCGTTCAGATTCTTCTTATTTTCTTTCAGGTTCACATTGGACTCAACAAGGCTCACTAGACCTTAAGGACTAGAAACCAGACTCAAGAGGATAATATATTGTTCCATTCGGTTCTTTACAAAGGTGCTATTCATTAGCTCTTTGTTCTCATAACAAATTTCTTTCTTTCATTTTTGTTTATACGTTAAACCTTTATGTCAATTTTGACCAGCTTTTCAAATATTGGAATCTAGCCTTGACTCACCATGGTCGGATTGTGATCAGCCATGTTCGCCTCAGGCGATTCCAGGGGCAGAGCAAGCAGTGTTTGATAAAGAAATAAAAAAAGAAACCAAAACACAAGAATCTGGGTGAATCCGAGGTTCCTACAAATGGAATCACCTAACTGACAATCTCGATCCAAATGAGACAATCCCAATACACATCAATGATATGATTTTTCAAACCACGGCTACAACTAGAAATATGTATATTTCTTTCACTGTGTTATGTAAACTAGAGGTGAAGATAACATCCAAATTCCGACTCCAACCCAAGCTTCTGCCAAATATTACAGAACAGATATTGTTGCAATCCTTAACATAAATAGCACTTTCAGTTTCTATCGATTGGTTAGATTGGGGCATCACAAAATTGTAGGTTTCCATCCATTAATGTAAACAAGGTTTTGGTTAAGGCAAAATTATAGTGAGCGTTTCCATGTTAACCAATGCTGCAAAATGCAAAGCAACAACTGTAGTTAGGCTCTATCTTAGCAAGTGCACATATCAGCTCACAATCTAAAACAGAAGATTCAAATTACAAGGAAAGTAACTCTGCACCATATATTTTACATCAGAGAGTGTGGACTTCTTAAACTTAACAAACAAAAGAAATCGTGTGATTTTCCTAGAATACACAAAGAAGAAAAAAGAAAAAGTCTTCCAGGGTCTAAGCCATACCCTTACATGAACAACCCTTCTGTCTTGCCTTTTGGATCTTCTCATATCCCAAATCGACAGGCTTCTTCCCACCATAATCTGCAACAGATGACTTATACCTACTCATGAATAAATTCCAAACTACAAACACGGAAAGTGCAGCTATGGCTCCAATGCCTATACCCCAAATAAGTGCAACCATTGTTCTGCAAATTACATTTATTCTCCCTCCAAAACTTCCATTTTTCACTTCCAATGTCCTTGGATCAACTGGCATAGAATGCTGGTTCTTCCAGTTGTACCCACCATCAAAGCTCCATGAGTAAATGACACTGGTTTGAGTCGAGTTCCCATTTGAACCAGTGATACCCACAAATAATTCTTTGCCCCAAATTCTTGAGAGGTCTTTGTGGATCGAAATCAAGGGTTTTAATGGCCAAGAAGCAATGGAATTACTGATTCTAACTTCAACAGTTTGGGAAATAGAATGGTAGTGGATCCATGAATGTAATGTGGTGTCATTGTTCAAAACCAGGCCAATGCTTGAAGTATCTGCAGCTTTAATGGAAACTAGGGTGTTGGGGTCGAACCCAACTTGATTCCCATCGAAAGAGGTTGAGTTTGAGTTCATGGAAGTGTCAAATTCTATAGCAAACATGTTGGGGAATTTGCAGGAAGGATCTAAACCAGAAGAAAACCTAAAATGCAGGCACTTGATGGGTTCTGAAAGGTACTTTCTTGGAAGAAAGACAAGAGCAAGCCTTTCTCCATTACCGGGAGAAATGGAGAAAGTAAAATATGAAGAGAATGAAAAGTGAGCTCTGAGTTTTGATACAGAGACTCTAATGGGGTGCTTGAATACAACTGATCCTGCACTTAAAGGCCAAGGCTCATTGAGCTTTACAAAGGAATTAGAATTAACGTTTCTTCCATCCGCAGTGATCTTTGCATCACCCAAAAGCAAGATACCAGAATTAGGGCTAGGGTTTTGCACAGGATGTTCGCCACCCATTACAGTCGTTCCAGAGCTAGAATTAGGGTTTTCTGTTGTTGAGGAAACACCGTCGACGCGGGCATCACCGGAAACCGTGAGCTTGGAATCAGGGTTAGGGTTTCGAGTGAACATATGGAACGAGAAAGATGTAAGCTCGGTAGTGGACTTTCCAAAGTTTTCAGACATAGAGTTGGGTTTTCTCTCAGACAAATCGCCATTGATGAGCTGAGCTGAGCTTGAGGAGTTGGTAGCAGAGCTAGGGTTAGGGTTAGGGTTAGGGTTTGGTAGTGAGAGAATGAGAAGAGGAAAGTGAAGCAAAGTTAAGCTGAAGAGTGCGTACCTTGAAACTGGGAAGCCCATCTGGATTATGCACTCTCTCTCTCTCTCTCTCTTTCTTACTTGCACTAAATAATTTTAAGCTCAGGTCAGGTCATAGTGTGCTACTTTTCTCTCTCTATATGCATACCCTTACGTCCGAGTATGTTTCTTTCTCTCTCTACCATGTATTCTCTCTCTTCTTCTTTCTTTTTTCGGTGTGGTTTGGTTTTTAGAAGGATGCAACCTTAAACAATCCAAATAAGGTGCACCTTTCAATCTTATGTTATGTAATTTTGGTGTAGTTTTTTTTTCAGGATTATCAGAAAATTTATTTTTATATTTAATTAAAAAATTTTAAACTCCAAAAATAATTAAAAATCAAATAGATTTATAAACATATGAAAATCTTAAAAAAAAAATGATCTAGATAATGTGTTGCAAAATGTATTATTTATAGAACTCAATTTTTTTTTTTTTTTCTTATTCATATATCTAGTTGTCGAGATGATCAATTAGAGGGTTTTTCAACATTAAAATATTTTTTTTATTATTGGTTTTTTAGGTGCATATGTTGTTCTACATTGTTATAAACTTTTTTTTTAAAATAATGAAAAGTAACAAAAAAAACAGAGAGAATAAAAGAGAAAATAAATAATCGAAAAGAGTACAACCATAAGAGTGAGGAACACAACTAGAAAGCTATACAAAAAAAAAATAGTTATTTGGAAAAAGAAAGCGCCGGCGAAGAAGACCACATGATATGAACCTCTTAATGGCCACAGAAAAGGTGGGGACGGCCCCTTCTCTCTCTCTCTCTCTATTTTGCATCATAATCTTTCATTTCTCCCCCATCCATGCTCAAATTTTAGGTAAATTACTTTCTTTCCCTTCCATTGCCTCTCTCTCCAATTCTCGCTCAGTTCTTTAGTTTGGCATGATACTCGATTCCACTTATGGATCCCGTTTCTACGAGTCCATGTAAAATTGAGGCGCTCCTTAAAATTTTATTTTTGATATCGATTTTTAGACTTAATTTTTAAGGTTATGTAATCTCTAATATGAATAAAAAAAAAAATTAAAAATTAAAAATAATTATTCTATTAAAAAATATTTGAACCGTTAGTTTCAATTATTTTTAAATGGACCACTTGTTCTTTGTATTGATTTTTAAAATGAATGCTTTATAAGTTTATATCGTTGGACCACGTAAGTAAAAATGCGGTCCAGCAAGCATGAAACAACTTTCCTTAATTTATTGCTCTCTCATATCGTCCGTCTTGTACTTATGCACTCTCTCTCTCTATTAGCATGATACTCTCATTTATTGCCTTCTCGTATAGTCTGTCTTGTATAGTTGTACTTATGCCCTCTCTCCCTTACCATGATACTCTCATTTATTGCTTTCTTGTATTTATGCGCTCTCTCCTTAATGCTCAAGTATGGACTATGCTCTCCCTCTCTCATTGATGCTCGTGATAGTTAGGTATAGCTAAATGAATAAATTAAAAGGTCGTTATACTTTGCACATGGTTAGTATTTTTTTTTTTTGACAATTATGGTTGGTATATCTCTTCTCTTTGATTTTACTTTTTTTTTTTTTTTTTTACGACAGTATGAAATATTATTAGATGAAATGGACTAGTACTATATGCATTAAATGCTTACAAATGAGATAAAGAAATCAAAAGGACCTCCTTCTTTACCAGATCATCCGCAGTGGCATTAGACTCACGATAAACAATGTTGGAAACTCACAATACCTTCCATTGAAAGCTTCAAAATCTGGAACCACACAGATCTAATGTGCCACAATGGTCTAGAATATCTATTGCACCAATTGATCAAATTCGCGGAGTCACCTTCTACAATTAAAGAATTTTCCACCCTCTTATCCTGCCAGATAATTAATCATTAAAGAAGTGAAGCTAATTCAGCATGATTGGCAGTAGCTATGCCACAACGCCCAACATAATAAAAAAAAAATGCACCCCATCATCTCGACATACACCCCTAATCCAAGCTTTATTTGGATTTCCCAACGATGAACCATCAAATTTTAGTTTTAAGCATCATGCATTTGGCAGCACCCACACACATCTTAGTCTTACTTTAATAAATCTTAAAGTAACCAAATGAGCCAAATTATGATGAACATCCATTCTAGAAACCCCCATCCTTCCTTTGTAATAGTAAAAAAAAAAATACCGTGTTGCCTATAAAACATGGGATTTAATCCAATTGCAAGCTAACAATAACAAAATGGATTGTCACTATTTACTTTTGAAAAAAGTTTATATAAGGTTGCAACATTAAAATGTAGAATTAAAGGTGCACCTAAAAAATCCATCATAAAATGTTGTTTGGATGTTAGAAAACCCTCTAATTGATCATATGGATATCTAGATGTATGAATATGAAAGAAAAAAAAGATTTTGAGTCTGCCGAATAGTATATCTTGCAACAAATTATCTGGACTGTCCATTTTCAAGATTTTTATATGTTTATAGATCTACTTGATTTAAAGTATTTTTAGAGTTTAAAATGTTATAACTAGGGATGAAAATAGATTCTTAAGCCGGCCTAAGAATTTTTTACCTCAAAAATATATTTATGATGAAATTTAGAAGTGCGTCTTAATTGAATTGTTTAAAGTTGCAACCTTATGCAAACCACACCTTATACTTTTTGTACAAGAAAATCACCATCATTATTGTGGTTTAAATTTCAAAATAGGTGGTTGTAAGAACATATTGAATATGCACAAAGTTACAAAAAATATTTATCGGACTTCATGACTCAACCCAAGCCATCCAATTTAACATCTAATGAGTGAAAATAATTGTGACCTTTAATAATAAAGATAAAAAAGAGATACAACGAGATTATTTACTTTTATTACGAGGTCCACATCACTTTTGTCCTTTGGATTTCAAATCAAGTCATTTATGAGCTTGTTATTGATTAGACTTAAAGTTCCAAAAAGAATTTCTCGAACTTCATGACACATCCCAAACCATCCAATTCCATATCTAATAGCTATGAGTAATTATATCCTCCTTATAAAAAAGATAAATAATCTCTAGTATACAATCCCGATAAGATAAATAGTCTCTTTGTAGATAATCTTATAACATAAAAGGTACCATATTCTATGCTTAACAACCCCAATAGAAAATGCTATGTTCACTGCTAGAGCAGGTGTACTCTAGAACATATTGTTAATTCACTTCCTGAGCAAAAGATCTAATGTTTTCAATCTCAACTTTTGGGAACCACTTCATAAATGCCAAATGAATGTTTTTGAAAAAGCATGGATTTGAATTCTTAGTTTTGGACATATAGATCCGACTGTCCAAAAATTGAATGATGTTATTTTTTCGGACGCACAACGAAATTATCTTTTGAGTTGGATGCTAGGTTAAGGAGGTTACATCATCAAATTTTAGGGTCCTGAAAATATTATTGTATATAATTTTACTAGAGAGAAGAATACACATTATTCTCCAACATAACATATAATCTTGGAAAAATTACTAAAAAATCCCCCAAAATGAGCTTCTTAGACCTTCTACCTCACCTTAACATTTATTTACTATTCTTTTTAAAAAGTCGACTTTCCTTACTAAAACCAACCCAAAAAAGAAGAGGTAAAGATAATTTTACCCCCGTTTTGACCTTTACCCATTACCCCTCTCATTAAATCATTTACTCTGTTTTCCTCACGAACCCTAGTTTTTACCCATTCCTCTATTTTCCTCACTCAGACGGCTTATTCCTCAGAGCTCACAGCCTCTTCCTTATGCTCACGACTTTCTCCTTCACCACCACAGCTTCTTCCTTCACCACCACGGCTTCTTCCTTATGGTTTTTTCTATTTTCCTCGTCTTCTTCCTCACCTTTTCTTCCCACCGGATTTCCCTCTTCCTTACAGTTTTCACTCTCCACGAATTTCTTCCTCTCTCCATTGGCTTCCTCATATCAATCGAAGCTCTCTGTAGGCCCCACTCACTCACTTCTCCGATAAAATACCCATTTTTATCTCCCTCTCTCTCTAAAATCAAATCTCTCCATCGAAGGTGTCACTCTCTTAGAGAGAGAAAGAAGGTTGTTTGGTCAAAGAAAACCAGTATTTATAGCAAACAAAAAATGAAGGGACAAACCAAGAACTTGGAGCATTTTTGGGGGATCTTGCATTTTTTGAACGCACTCCAGATATTACAGTCCCACATTTATGAAACACGCTCCGGCAAAACTAAAACTCACTCTGGCATTTTCTGAAAGCACTCTGGAGATTAGTTCACTATAAAAAAGCAGTCCGACACTTGTAAAAAGCACTCCGACGAAATTAAAAATCACTCCGACGTTTATTGAATCTACTCCGAAGAATGTTCACTGTTAAATAAGCACTCTGGCATCTATAAATTGCACTCCGGCATTTGCTGAAAGCACTCCAGAGATTAGTTCACTATAAAAAAGCAGTTCGGCATCTGTAAAAAGCGCATCGACAAAACTAAAGGCACTCCGGCTTTTCTTGAATCCACTCCGGAGATTGATTCATTGCTAATAGCTAGTCCGGAATCTAAAACATGTGCACCGGCAAAACTAAGAAGCACTCCGACGTTTTCTGAATGCACTCCGGAGAACGTTCACTGTTAATAAGCACTCTGGCATATGTAAAATGCACTCTAAAAAAATTAGAAATCACTCCGACAGTTCTTGCAAAACACTCCGGTGATTATTCACTGTTAATACGCAGTCTGACATATGTAAAATGCACTCCAGCATATTTAGAAACCACTCCGGCATTTCATGAGCTCGCTACGGCGAATTGTTTACTGTATAATAGCACACTCGGGCACTTGTGAAGAGAACTACGGAGAATACTTCACTATTAAATAGGCAGTCTGGCATCTGTAAATGCACTCCTGCATATTTGGAAAGCACTCTGGCAATTGATGAACTTGCTCTGGTGAATAGTTGACTAAAATTGACACTCCGGCACATGTGGAAAGCACTCCGACAAACAGGTCTATTAACAGTCCAGCCCATGATGAAGCCACTCCGGCGCTTCATTCATATCAGTCCGGCACTCAGCTTCCTGGACGAAAAGCCAATCCGGCAATTCAATACCTCAGTCCGACGAATAGCTCACTGGAATCACGGGCAGTCCGG